GTAAGTAGGGACTGAAAGCATTGCTCTAAAGAGAGCTGGCATAGACACAATGGGCTGGAAGGCCTCTTCTCTTCTGTGTCGTACATTTCTGTGACATTTTGGCTCTAAGTTGTATCATAACTTTGGAAGATAAGGAAAGTTTAGAAAAATGAAGCAAATGACATTGTTCTTCCTCTCCACGCTCCTTTAATAACCTGATAGCAATTTACAAGTGAAAAGGCAAATGCTTGCATGTTGAACTGCTTCTTAAAGAACAGACGTTTTTTTAAAGGACGGATGGACGGACATTTGTGAAGGAAAGATAATAAGAGGTAAAGGCACCTCCGACAATGCAACCCCCCCCCCCCCACCCCAGCAATGATTAGGAGTGTCAGGCTAGACTATGTGAGTTCAAGTTCTACTGGACACAATACGACAACCTTTTGATTCAGAGTCGAGAGTGTTACCAACTAAGCCAGGTGGAACAGGCTTAAGAAGCTAAATGGATTAACTCCTCTTGTTTTAGTACCTTGGGATGTCCTCCTAATGTGAAAGCTGCTATAGAAATGTAATTTGTTAGTTGTTGTTGTTCCTATTCACCTGAAATGAGAAGGTCTTATCTTTTTTACTTTTGGAATACAAAAATACAAAGTTTACTGAACTTTAAATTAAATGGATATTTTTTAATTCTGTATTATTCAACACATCATCATGTCAATCATCAGACCTTTTTTCTGGATTTCAGTACATCAGGAACAAACATCTTGAAATTGAATATGTGTCACAAAATCTCAATGGATTTTTGGCTGATATATCAGTGAATTCACTCACTGGAAACAAATCATTATCTCAGTTATTTAAAACAAGTTAATTCAAGCATTTATGCTGAAACTAAAATGTGCTTATTGATTAGCTGGGGCATTTTGTACTTTTCAAAATGAATTGAACTTTGATAATTCACAGAAAGACCTCCAGAAATCATACAAAGCTATGCATATGTAATTGATAATTAAGTTTTGGCATTATGCACAGAACAAAAAAAAATTCTGCAAGCAAAAAATGTACATGAAACACCATATATTTGCAAAATTACATACTTTTTAAAAAAATTGGACAATTTATTCTATTTAGACATTTTGATCAGAAGAAAATTGTTATTTTATATTTTTATAACATCTGATTGAATGGCTCTAAATCAACTCAAAGGTGCTGGCACCAAGCTTAAGAATGGGCAGTGTAATAAAAACTTGGCATTTTAACTGTTCTACAAAGACAGCAATGTGCATTGCTATTAATGTCCAAATCATTTCATGGAAAACTAGCCTTCAAAGAACAGCACCTGCAGTATCTCCAAGGTTTATTGACCCAATCACTGATTTCCCTTGTTATCACTGAGCTTCTAAAATGCTTGTTCTTTCAACCATCTGAGAGTTATTCTGTGCTTGTTGATAAATTTACCAACCTTGATTGTGAGCACATTCTGTTGCTGCTGTAATAGGAAGGTGATAGGGTGGCTATGCTGAAAGGGTGATATCAAAGGGGACAAAGTGCAAGTTTCTTCTGAATCTCTCATGGCATCTCATGTGAAATGAAACATGCTATCTCTTGTGAAGAGAATTACATAAACATCTGAAAAGGAAAAATATAAGAATATAGGGAACTGACTGGAGAATGGAATTGAATGAATAGGTCTCTTACCCATTACCATGCTTAAGATATCTAAATCAAACTGAGAGTTCCATGCATCGCACCTACACATAAAATTCCAGAGATACTTATTGGAATGCAATGAACAGTCTCTCCCTGGAGGACACATCCTGCTTAGCTAATTCCAGAAAGTATTAATCGCAGATTGGCAAGAGCCAAGGCTTGGGGACCCCAGAGTGTGCAGTGGGGTACTGCTAGAATCTAACCATCTAAAACTGCATGCGTAGCTTGCCATTGAGAGCACTATCCTGCAAGCTTTCCTGCTGCTTCTCCAGCCAGGACCATCCTACCTATTAGGGCTTTGGTTTGCTGAGTGGGAGCTGAGTGGGAAGAGTCACTGTCCCTAGTAACTGGTCTGTCCTTCCAAGCCCTGACGATGAGCCAGTCTGGCTGTGCTGTCATCAGCAGTGCTGAGAGTACTGAGGACCCACTTGGCTCAGAAACTGGACTACCGTGACTGCCACAGAGGTTGGGCTCAATTCTGGCGTGCCAATACGAAACATGTCACCAGCTCCAAGGAAACCCCACTTATCTACCCACCACCACACCCCCCTCTCCACACACACACACATACATCAGGAGGATAATGACTACTTAGTCATTTGACTTTCAACAAGCACAAGTTTGAGCCCTCATAAGGTGAATGGCAGACACCAGGAAGCCTGTGCAAGCCATCTTTTTCCTTTTAAATGGCATAGCTACAAAATGACATCAAGGACAGAGCACTTCTGGACACACATTTTTTGGGACAGGAAAGGGTCTTGTTCTCTTGATAATTCAGAACTCATCTACCACCTCTTCTTACCCTCACCCCTCAATCACTTCTCTTTCCAAAAACACACCTCGTCAGCTCATGAACACCTTTATACTATTTGGTTCAAAGATTTCCCAGATATTGTAACTAATTCCACAAGAGCATTATCCTTTTATTAATATCACACATTATTTAGTGTTGAGTAAGGCTGAATATTAACATTTTCAGCCTGACTTTCTAACAAATCAGCTTGAAAGTCAGCAGCTTGAGGATTTCCAGCAATTTATGAAATGTGCGGATGAAATCAGCTGCATTTCACAATGTGATCAATGTATTATTTATCATATTGAAGACATTAAGAAACATTGCAAATATCACCTATGATGTGCCCTTCTTATCCTCTCTTAATGAAAATCTTTGGTTCCTGCCTTAATGAAAGTCTGTTGGATCAAACCCAAACTCCAAGCAGCAAATCCAAATCTAAGAAGAATTCCAAGTACTTAGTGCTGGCTTCCTATTCAGTGTTCCAGTCTTCAGCAACACGAGCAGCAGCAATGGAAAATGTGCAAACCCTCAATGCCAGATTAGCTTTGATTAATTCACTCAACAACAAACCTATACACCAATATTTCAAAAGTATCATATGATAATGTTTCTGGCATAAAAGCAACTTGGGAGCCAAACCAAAATTTGCAGAAATGTCCAAACATTCACCAGCGTGTTAGAAAGAGTTAAACACAACTGGGAGTAACCAAGTGGTGGTCTTCTACAATATTTGCCTGCCATCGGCTTTCAACAATAAAAACAAAAGTCTGCTTTATTGAATGATATAACGCATTGGGATGCCTTTTTGGTTCCTTTAGCAACCTACTTGCTGCCTAAAAGAAATGACTGGCAGCTACATTTTGTAAATAGACAAAAAAAGCAGAGTTACCCAGAGAAAATGCCAAAACTGAAATGTTTAGATCATGTAATAGACTGAGAAAATCTAAATCATTTCTCTTGTTTAGTTTAATTATACAAAGTCTTCCAAACATGAGGCCTAAGAACATTTCAATGAACCACAATTCAATTATTCTTTACATTATCGCTCAGAATGGAAACATAGATTGTGGTTGTAAGTTTCCTTGGGATAGTATTGACAGGGAAAGAATTACATCAAAACTTCAAAACTCCAGTAATCAGCATTCATTGGTAAAAGTAAAGTTTTCGGTCAGGCCTAATGTAACTAAATGTAGGTTTGTGCTATCTATAGTGAGTGTGAATATTATAAAAGATGATCATAGTAGGATTTGCACAAATAAAGGGATGAAATATACTTTTACAGATCAGCTATTATGATCAGTTTGCTTGAATCATTCTGGACGAGTCTTCTGAAACTCTTCTAAAATCCTTTGCTTCATCCCCACTCTATCTCTATTTTGAAAAGACTTTTAAAGAAGTTTCTCTTTAACTGCACCTTCGACCAGCTGCAACTTCACCCCCCACCCTCCACTGTCCCCATCTCCTTCCCAGCTCAGCCTCCCATACTGTCTTTCAAAATGCTTTGAGACACTCTCTTGACATGAAAGATGGCATATAAGTGTAAATTGTTGGTGTCAGCTCGCAAGCAGTGGTGCAGCTAAAACAACACAAACTGCAGCACTGCCACTGATGGAGACTCCTCACTTTGGCTTTGGTAGCAGTTTTGCACTATAAAGCAGGGGGCTCTGTTATTTGTGGGGCACTTGAAATCCAATTGGAAGTGGCTTCTAGGCTACCCCACAAACAAACACTGGAGGCAATGATAAATGCTTGTTTACAGAGCCATTTTCTGACCAGAAGTAATCTGAGCCCTGTGCCTGCTGCAAAATCCAGCAGTGTCATTCACACACAACTTGCTTGAAGGGACCTTGTTTTTAAAAAAAAAGAAATTCTAAGAAACAGATAACCAGCAAAATTATCTTCAGAAATTGTTAGGGTCAACCTATCCAATGTATAATGTCTGGTTAATTATCAAGTAAACTTAACGTGATTAAGTCTAATTAAGTTGATTAAGTCTAGAAGACGTGAAAAGCGCTATATCAAATGCAAGATATATATATAAATATATATTTATTATAAGTGACTTCAACACTCCAGCTTTAACAAGTCGAGAGTGTGTCATATGCTGCTGTGGTCTAGCTCATCCTTCCATGGGGGAAAATCTCAAACTTCAACTATTGTATTGCTTTCCCAGGCTGCATGCTGCAGTTGAAATTCACTCACAAAACAGTTCTACATTTCCCATTTTCCACAATTAGCAGGAGTTGTTACATGCCTTGAGTATCACACATGAAGCCAAATTGAGCAATTTCACTTATAAAGTGAAGAATGGTCTTGGCTCAACCCTGCTGAATATTGAAGATTTTCTTCTTTAACTGCAGATCCAACTGCACTCACTGCACATTAAGTATAAAGTTTTTTTTAACAATAAGCTTGTTACAACTGCCCAGCTCACAAAGGTGCAAAGTTACCAAGTTATGTACAAACACTTTCCAAGAATATATTTTTTAACAAGAATGAATATTGAACAAAGAGGCTGCGGCAAAGCTTTTATTGTTAATTAGATGTGAAGTGTGGTGGTTCTGGCTGGTATTTCAGCTAGAGGTAGGGATCAAAATGTCAGGCTATCGGTTCAGTAAATAGGCAGAGTGAGCTGAGGGCAGGGTTTGTGCAGGTGAGCTGAAAAGGAAGCTTCAATGTAGCTGCTTACCTTTCGCATCTAAAGACAATAATCAAAGTCCTGAAGCTCTGCACTTTGTTGCACTCACGATATGCAAGACCTTTCAGCAGATCACTTCAAAGCAACAGAGGAGCCACTCGTACTTAAACATGGGACTTTGAAGGCATCTCTGCTTTGGCTTTGTAATACTTGGCTGGTGACAAATTTATTCTTCGAATGTTCAGTTCAACGGCAAATGCTCTGGCTTTCTGATAGAAGTAAAGTGACATTTCGCGATCCATGAGGAAGTTATGGTAAATAGTGGCGAGTCTGGTACAGATTTTCAGCTGAGAACTCTTATTGCCCAGGTCCATGGCCGCTGCAAGGGCTAAATGATAGTAACCAGCTGCGTCATGTGGATCCTGCAAAAAACAACAGAAACGCACAGATACGGTTGACGTTAGATTGTTATTCAAACTTGTGAGTAAGAACGAATAATAATCAGTCAAAATCATGAACGCATTTAAAGCAACTCCTTTTAAAATTTAGGGGAATGTAGTAACTTCAAAGGATCACTTCAGATGAAGAAGGCTCTTCAGTCAATTTGATCTTATCCTTCCAGAAAGCTGCCATCCTTCCATTACAGGACCAAGCTTATTCTTCAACTAGTCCAACATCCTACCTGGCTATCCATTCCAGTCATTAATAAGGTGTCAATCTGTCTGAGTTCTAAATGACTTGGTTTACAAAAAAAAATTGGTTTCATCCACAAAATATACAGTCAATCCATTTTATAATATATTCTGTGAGGCGCTTTGAGACGTCTCAATGACTTGAAAAGGCACTATATCAAACGCAAGTATTATTATTATTATTATTAAAAAAGGTGGCGATAGGGAGGAGAGTGCACTGGAAAGGTCTATCCTAGAGCTAAGATAGCAATGGATAAGGATTTCATTTTAGAGCAGCTTGTACTTTTATATATTATTGGAGTTTAGTAGTTGTAATTTTGTATTTATAATAATAATATAATATTTATAAAATAATATAATAAAATATTTATTCTTACCTTGAGGTTATAGAAGGTCATGTCTCCTAGTTGTATATACACTCTGACATAGTACATGGTCTCCTCATCAAACACCAGTGGAAACGAGCAGAGGGAGAGGGCCTTCAAATAAAAGTGTTCAGCCAGCTCGCATTGCCCAAGAGACTGATGTATTATAGCCAGTCGATGGTAAGCAATGCGTTCATTCAACATATTTCCTACCAGAGAAGAAAACAGCAAATTTTACAAAAAGGGAAATATTCCATATATAATAATAATATAATAATCCTTGCATTTGATATAGCTCGAATCACATCGGAAGGACATCTCAACGTGCTTCACAGGATTTTACTGTGAAATTTAGTGACTGTGTATTTGTAGGCAAATGCAGCAGTACAATTGCACACAGCAATGTCCCACAAACAGCTGTGAAACAAATCACCAATTTTATTTGGGGGATTATTGGCCAGGACACCGGGAGAAACTCCCTTCTCGTTTGAACAGTGCCACGGGATCTTTCACGTCCACCTGAACAGGTAGACAAGACCTCGGTTTAACATGAACTGTGAAGTACTTATACAATGGACAATGCAATACCCCCTCGAGCATTGCATTGGAGTGTCAGTTTAGACTATGTGAGTTCAAATCCCAACATGGACTTGAACCCACAACATTCTGATTCAGCGGTGAGTGTTCCAGGACTGAGCCAAGCTGGCACATATTTTTTTATATATTACACCCTACATCCATCCTGGATCAGTCTAAACCCAGCTACCTTCCTTCTCAGCCCCAATCTCCTCTTTCTTGCCTTAATTGGCTCTAGTTTCCTTCTGACCTCAATGAAACCCACCACCTGCTGCCTCGACCCCCTCCCCACTAACTTGCTGGTCACCCAGCTCCCCTTCCTCTGCCCACTACTGGCTAACGTTATCAACCAGTCCCTCTCCTCCGGATCAGTGCCTGCCCCCCTCAAAACTGCTGTCATCACCCTCCTCCTCAAAAAACCTTCCCTAGATCCCTCCAACCCTAGCTACTACTGCCCTATTTCTAACCTGCCCTTCCTCGCAAAAGTCCTAGAACGCGTTGTTGCCAACCAACTTCGCGCACACCTGTCCTTCCACTCCCTCTTCGAACCCCTCCAGTCCAATTTCCGCCCTGCCCACAGTACAGAGACTGCGCTTGTGAAAGTCGCAAATGACATCCTCTCTATCTGTGACCAGGGCTCCCTCTGCCTCCTTGTCCTCCTGGACCTCTCCGCCGCATTCGACACAGTCGATCACGCCATCCTCCTTGACTGCCTTTCCTCCATCATCCACCTCAGAAGGACCGCACTCGCCTGGTTCGAATCCTACCTCACAAACCACCAGCAGTACATCTGCACAAACGGCTTCTCCTCCCGCTCTCACCCGGTTACCTGTGGGGTACCCCAAGGATCCATCCTTGGCCCCTCCTCTTTCTGATCTACATGTTCCCTCTTGGGGATGTCATCTCCAGACATGGGGCACACTTCCACATGTATGCGGATGACACCCAACCCTATTTTTCCACCTCTCTTTGCAATCCCCAGTCCCCTGATGTTCTGTCAGCCTGCCTGTCAGACCTCAGGAGCTGGATGAACGCAAATTTCCTTCAGCTGAACGTTGACAAGATGGAAGCCATACTTTTGGCTCTTGTCAACGTCTAAAATCTCATAGGTTTCACCTCCTCCACCTACCTGACCTCCCCCAAAAATTCTCCAAACCCGTACGCAACCTAGGCGTCAGGTTCAACCCCCAATTATCCTTCCTCCCCCACATCCGGTCCCTCACCAGCACCGCTTTCTTCCATCTCCAACGCATCGCCTGTCTCTGCTAATACCTCTCTCTGAAAGCCGCTAAAACCTTGCTCCATGTCTTTGTCACCTCTCGGCTGGACTATTCAAATGCCCTCCTCACCCGTCTTCCCTTCACTACCATCCATAAAATCCAGATTATACAAAACTCTGCCGCTCGCATTCTCACCCACACCAAACTCCGCTCCCCGATTACCCCAGTCCTTGCCAGACTGCACTGGCTCCCCATCCCAGAGAGGATCGACTTCAAGATCCTCACCCTTGTCTTCCAATCCCTCCACTCTCTGACCTCCTCTCTCCTCAAAACAGTGCCCATTGTCGTCGTTCCTATGGGTCTGGCATCCTCCTTGTCTCCCGAGTCCTCCGCTCCACCCTCGGCAGCCGTATCTTCAGCCACTATGCCCCGAGGCTCTTAAAATCCCTTCCTCACTCCCTTCGCCTCTGCCCCTCTCTTCCTATTTTCAGGTCTCGGCTGAAGACCTTTCTTTTCGACTGCACCTTTGATCACCTTCCTCCCCCTCCCCCTGGCTCGGCACCGGGATCTGTTATTGTGAAGCTCTCTGAGATCTCGTCCAGCGTGCTGTTGTTGACCTAAGTTTCACTGTACATTTCAATGGCTTTTCCTGGTAACTGATTCAATGAGTTTATCACCTTGCGTGCAAAACAATTTGCCTGACTTCCTTTCTCATTCCTAACCATCTCATTTTGAAACTTTTGTCTGAATCCTTCAAATAGTGAACAATTTGTCTGGATCAATTTGTCCATTTCCTTCTCAAGCATAAAAGTCGATTCACTTGTCATTACAGCTGAATGAAGCACCAGTGCTATAATTAAAATAGAACTAGCTAAGTGTGGAGCTAAAACCTCTATCAATGAAATCATATGAAGCAGTGGGTCTCACAGGTCAATGGGAACAAATTATTTTGCTAATTGAGAGCAGTTCATTTTAAATCTTGGCATTTCTTTGACCATTAGTTAAAAAAAATTGACCTTCACTGTGTGGAATTAAAATGGGAAAAACCTTATTAAATGCTCATACCACAAGGCTGGTACATTTACCAATCGTAGAAGAATCAACCTGTAACCCTGGATGAGCTTGTAGGGTTGATAATGTACACAGACCAGATAATCAATCAAATGAATGTTTTACATGGTGAATTTTAAACAATCTTCACTCAGTTAGTCTCAAGATCACAGGCAGGAATCAATTAGTTTCAAGACCACAATCGTATTTGTGAAACTGCTTTCTGGTCAGCATTAAAAAGTGAAGAATGTAGAACTTTCTTCTCTTCCATTACAGAATATCTGAGTGAGAGCCAAGAATGCAGTAACCTTAGGTTGAATTAATTGCTCAATTTATCTAAAGGTTGCTCCTTCTTGATTTGCTGACGTCAGTTAAGTAACTCCCACTAAAACTAATCCTAACAGCAAACGAATCATTGCGAACATGTTACAATTGGAATGAGTTAGCCATGAAAGTTTTGGTGGTTGAAAAAACAATTGAACTGGAAAAAAACATAGGTACATAGCAACATGAGAAGGCCATTCAGCCCCTTGAGCCTGTTCCGCCATTCTATAAGATCATGGCTGATCTGTACCTCAACTCCAATTACCCACCCTTGCCTTGATACCCTCACCTAACAAATATCTGTCCATCTCAGTCTTGAAAATTTTAATTTTTCACAGCCATTTGAGAAGAGGGTTCCAAATTTCCACTAACGTTTGTGTGAAAAATTAATTCTGGTGAATCTGCAGTGCACCCCTTCCAGAGTCAATGTATGCTTCCTGAGGTGCGATGTCCACTCACAACGTAACTTGGGTTTTCTGAATGGAAATCCCTTGAATCTCAGGTCTGAGGGGATATGGACTGAGCTGAGGTCTCGCAGTTGACATGAGGTACAGCAGTTTCACTGTAGAAAACTTAAGCACATTGCGGATTCTCTTTCCAACGGTTACACCAACAGAATGCTTTTCCAACACCATTATATGGAAAGACAACAACAAATTGCACTTATATGGTACCTTTCACGCAGGAGAACATCTCAAAGCACTTTGCAGAGACTCATGAGAGTTTTAAATATTTGAGCATCTTAAGTAGAGATGATCTTTGCCCTGACAACTTGAGGAGAAGGGATGGAAGTGGAATTAGTACGATATGCAGATGGCTCTGGTTGGGTACTTGCACCATCACAGACACAACAGGTCAAATGGCCTCCTTCTGAACGGTAAACATACTAGGATTCATTACATTCTGTGGTTCTATTATGAAAACATAAACATATGTATTAAAGGGTGAACTAAAAGTATTATTAAAGAGTGCAGATCCCTGACTGTGCACCGTTGGAAAAAGAATCCGCAATGTGCTTAGGTTTTCTACAGTGAAACTGCTGTACCTCATGTCAACTGTGAGACCTCAGCTCAGTCCATATCCCCTCAGACCTGAGATTCAAGGGATTTCATTCATAAAACCCAAGTTACGTTGTGAGTGGGCATTGCACCTCAGGAACGATATATTGACTCTGGAGGGGGTGCACTGCAGATTCACCAGAATTAATTTTTCACGCAAAGGGTAGTGGAAATTTGGAACCCCCTCCCCAATTTGCTATACAAATTTAATTTGTTGTTTGTTGTTGTTGTTGAATTGGAAAGAAAGAGAAAGATCTCGGTTACCCAGGGACACGCTGAGTGCCAGAGCAGTTTGGGCAAATTCCAGGGCTTCTGCGTAGCTCTTCCCATGCATCAGTAGTTCTGTCAGCTTGTTGCAGAGTCGGAGCTCTACATTTGTGTTTTCACTCTTAATGGCAAGTGGAAGCGCTCGATCCTGGAACACACAAGGGAGATCTCTGAAGCAATTTGTTACAGCTGATTTCAGTGTAACATAGAAACCAGACAGAAACCATTCAGACTTCAGTGCAGTCATCACTGTAAGATGTCTCGTCTCTCATGACCCATGAAATCTATAACATTTGCTATATCAATGTATAGTCTTAAGACTGACTCAACCTTTTTTTCCCCAAAAAGAGTATTTTTTTAACAGGGATCTTTCTCTCTCTTAAGATCAAATCAATCATTTTAGACATGAACCCAATCCTTGTTTCCTAATGGCTTGGCTGATATTGCCACAGTGAAGCTAAGTCATACACAATCCCTGGTTCAATGTTTAGATTCGGCTGAGTTAGCTGAGCCCACCCAGTGCAATAATAGGTGTGCTGGAATCTAGAATTGGCCTGACTGTGCTACAGAGTGGAGAGGGAGGGGAACATCGGAAAAGGATAATATCTGTCTGTATTTTAATATCTATGTTTCTACAGATATTTGGAATCAAAGCAGGCAAAAGATCTGGAAATGGATAAAATGTTCAAAATCTTAGTTCTCACATACAAACAAAAATGAATTCCATTTGCAGAGTGTGATGTGATACCTGAGTGAACTTCACTTTAGATTGTTTTGTAGCTTTAATATAATATAATAATCCTTGTATTTAATATAGCATCTTATCACATCTTCGAGACGTCTCAAAACACTTCACAGAATGTGCTGTAAAGTGAATTTACCGTATATTTTGTGGGCGAAACATTTACACATGATTAACCGGACCTACAAACACAACCTTCCAACTGATAAATTAAACACAATTCTACAACAGTTTAGATTTAAAGAACATCAGGTAGCCAAAGCAGAATATACATAGACAGCACTTACCCTATAAAAGGATATGGCTTTCTCTCTTTCCCAGGATCCATTAAAAAATACATCTCCTGCTGCTTCAAAAACTTCCAGTGCAAAGTCTAATTTTTCCGTACTGACAGCAGCATCATGTGCAACCTTAAATTGTTATTAAACAATGAGCAGCATTATTGTGGAGAAATCACAATGAGGCTCTTACTGAGCTTTTTAGGTATTGAGCATCTGTAAACTATTGATATAAGGCTAGGTTATATAATGCACTGCTAAATATAAGCTACATTTAACAACAGATAGAACACAGCACACATCATGACTTCCAAAAGTAACATGTCTGCAAAACAGCAGGAATATAGATCACAAAATCAGTTCGGATGAAGAAGGCTTGTCAGCCCATCTGATCTCATTCTTCCAAAAAAAGCAACGACCCTACTGTTTTCTCATCAGAGCACCAGGCTGTTTTGCTTAAATTAAAAGGGATCAGAGTATTTAGTTCTAGTAGGGGAGCGAGCAGCAGCACAAACACAATAGGCCATGTGGCCTCTTTGTGTGCTAAACACTTTCTATAGTTCCATGATCAACAATTTTGCAGTCAAGATATGAAGTGGTGGTTGAGGCAGAATCCATATTGGCCTTCAAGAGCGAACTAGATAAATATTTTAAAAAGAGTCAGCAATGGGGATATGGGGAAAGGGCAGGTAAATGGGACTGAAAGGATTGCTCTTAAGGCAGCCAACATAGACAAAATGGACAAAGTGGCCTTCTTATATGCCCTAAATGTCTATGGTTCTATGGAAATAGTATTGATAAGTGTTTGATATGCAGTAGATACTGATTATACCTCCACAATACTAAACGCTGCACAACCACAAGAATTAAATTGGATATATTTTTATAAATTTATGGCACAGCCTATCGGGTCTGTACTGACGTCATCAAGGGCAATCCTTTCAGTCCCACTTACCTGCCTTTTTCCATATCCTTGTAGCTGACTCTGTTTAATAGAACCTGCAGTATACTACACAAAATAATCCTTAATCATTAATAGATTTGACAGCCTTGTCATGATAAATAGATATAATATACAACGATTGATGTTAATGACCTTCCAAGCCTTGTTTAAACTGAGCTGGATGGAAAGTCACTGGCACTCACCCATGTGCCTTTTGTAGTTTCTCATTACCTGTATGTAGAGGTCCACTAATTCATTCTCTCTCAGAATGTAGTAAATCTTCCCTGCTTGAAGCCAGGCATAAGCTTCCTGCTCTTTTTTCTTCAGATCAATGAAGATTCCAAGGCTCCTTTTGGTATATTCCAGAGCTGACCGAAATGCTCTGAGTTCACAAAGATAAACAGAGTTAGAACTGGATGGCAGGGTGGATTATCTGACCAAGAGCCAAGGCTTGGGCACTGCCTGGCAAGCTTTCCTATTGCTTCTCCAGCTGGGACCATCCCACCAGTTAGAGCTTGGGCTTGCAGGGTTAATGGGAGCTGAGTGGGAAGAGTCCCTGCCCCCAATGACTAGTCTTCCCTTCCAAATCCTGCCGATGAGCCAGCCTGGCTGTGCCATCAGCAGTACCCTGGGGTACTGTGGACCGGCTTGGCCCATGAACTGAACAACCGAGACTGCTCAATTCCAACATTCTGTTGCTAAACATGTCACCTCGAAGCCAATTCAACTCCAAGGAGACCATCTGCTGAGCACTGTTCTGCTCTGTTCAGTAAATGTAATTGATTTGTCCCTTTGTAAAGCAATGTTATAAATATATTTTAATCTTATATTGATAATGTCATGGCATTATATCACTGCATACACGGTCAATCTCCCTAAACTACAGAACAGTGAGGAATAACAAATTCTATATGTATCACGGCAGACCCTCTGGAACTCCCTTGGATTCTGATTTCAGCTCTGACTTCAGAGCTGTGTGCAGTTCAGATGTTTGGCCACAGAATGGCCAAATTCCTTTTGCAACTGCTGCAATTTAGACCCTAGTAACTACAAAGGAAATCTTCCTACCATTTGCACACAAATAACAAAACCAATCAGAACTATGCTATTCGCCGACAAAACAGTAAAACCTGTGAAACATTTTCAGTTGCACTCCTGATATGAAAAGAACTAGATCAAATGCATGGACTATTATTATTATCTGAAATCTTCAAGACATTAGTGGGTAGAAATTCCACCCAGGTCCAGGCAAGCATTTTTCTCTTAGCGTTTCTGAGCATACAAACTTTTGATAATTCTTAATTTTGATTTAAAGCCAATTTTCTTGCCTCTTTGACAAACTACCAAAATACCAAAAAAAGCTTCAAAATTAAGAATGAATTTAAGAATCGTTAAAGGAATTGCATGTTTTAAAATGCTGAGAAAAAGATGTCGTAAGCCTATACCCAGACAGAAATATTCCCTCAGATACCATTTCCCCCTTGGTGACATCATCCACAGACATCGGGTTAACTTCCACACGTATGCAGATGACACCCAACTCTACCTCTCTGCCTCCACACTTGACTCCAGGACCACTGCTATCCTGACAGAATGTCTGTCAGACATCAAGTCCTGGATGAGAAATAACTTTCTTCAGTTGAACGTCAACAAGATGAGGCTCTCCTGATTGGCTCCCGTCAGCGCCTCCACACCTCAGACGCTGACAGTATCATGGTTACACACTCCACCTCACTGAGCAAGTCCGGAACCTTGGGGTCTTGTTCGACCCTCAACTATCCTTTCTCTCTCACATTCGCGCCATGACCCGTTCTGCCTTCCCCCACCTCCGCAACTTTGCCCGGCTCCAACACTGTCTCACACCACAGGCCACCGAAACCCTCATACACGTCTTCATTACATCGAGGATCGACTACGCAAACTCACTGCTTGTCGGCCTCCCCAACTCCTCTCTCCACAGGCTGCAGATCATCCAGAACTCTGCAGCTCGTGTCCTACACCAGGCTCTGCGACCCTATCACCCCCATCCTTGCCCAACTCCACTGGCTTCCCATCACACAGAGGATACAGTTCAAGATCCTGGTTCTCACCTTCAAAGCCCTCTATCGTCTTTCTCCCTCCTACCTCTGCGACCTCCTAACCCCCTACCACCCTGTTCACTTCATCCGCTCAGCAGGCTCAGGCCTGTTTCATGTCCCCGCATTGCTTACCACACTATCAGCGGACGGGCGTTCCACTCTCCACCCACCCCTGGAACTCCATTCCGCAATCCCTCTGTCTCGCCCCCTCCCTTGTCATCTTCAAGACCCACCTCAAGACCCTCCTCTTCGATCATGCTTTCGATCTCCCTGCTTCCCCCCCGCCCTCCCTCCTCCCCCAGCCCAACCCTCAGCTCAGGTCTGAAACTCTGAATGTCCAGTGTCTTGGGACGTCCTCCCGATATGAAAGGCGTTATACAAATGTAATTTTGCTGTTGTTGTTGTTCAATCTATCCCATACCGTTCCGTTCCCAGAGAGAGGTAGAGCTGGCTGATGTTCTGCAGGACATGGCCTTCCTGTTCCTTGTCTGCCAGCTTGCGAGTAAGGGAAAGCAGAAACTCATTGTAAATGATGCATTGGGCCTCGTTCGGGAAATCAGAACTGTAAAACTGGCAGAGCAACTGTGTGACTTGTACTTGGCCTAGATTCAAGGAGAAAAACTGAAGCAATAAGTATAGAAAGTGCTTGGTTAGAGCTTTCCCCCATTTCTAATCATTTCCCTGGACTTAGGCTTTCTTTTAAGTGAATGTGCTCCATTGTTTTGATAGGTGGAGGAGCCAGACAGGTAGGGAGGGAAAGAGCTCTTACTTTATGCACAAGTTAATCAGTATCACAGATTTTATCCAATGTACTTCTTGGGGAGTCTGTGTGTGAAGTGTTTTGAGACATCCTCCAAAGTGAAATGCGGTATATAAATGTAAATTGTTATTGTTGTTGAGTTACTGCAGTGACATTTTGGTTTTACTGTATTGTCAATGACAAAAAGCGCTTTTTATTCTTTTTCTAATTACAGTATAATGTTCCTCTGACTTGGTACAACTACGAGCGCAATACAAATCCTAATGATTTACAATGGATCATTCAAACCTTGATGTGAGCTTGTAATCAGTCTCCCTGACAGGTCATTTAATTTTCATTGCTACATTGTGATAAGAATTCAGATAACTTATAAAGAAAAACAATCTTTCATTAACTTACTAAATATACCATATCTCCGTATTTTATATTATCACAGCAGTATAACTTAATATTATAACAACAAACATGTTTTTACTTGTTTCCAAGTCAGGAGATTTACAGTATTTTGTGCTGTGTGTCTGGATGTTTAAGATACAGGATTGAACCTTCAGTAAAAAGAATCTTTTTTTTTCATGAGACTCCTTTTTTTTCTCCTGTTACCTGATTATTTAAGACCTTGGTATTATAGCACAATTCCAAATAACCTGCATTACTATAACGATGCATTTGTTCAGGATTTCACAACAGAATGAATTTACTGTTGGCATAATAAACCCCTGTAGTGTGTAAACTTTTGCCAAGCCCTCTCCCAACTTGACTGATTGCCAAAGTGAGCAAATGACCTGCAGAGGCTTCTAGAATAAATCAAAATACACTATATGTGGATATCAATTTTTCTTTAAAAAAGTCAATATGGTACTTACTTTCAATAAGATTCCCTTTCAATGCAATCAGAAGTGCCCATTCATAATAAAATATCCCTTTGTCTTTTAATTGCTGATCAATATAATATTGTCCCAGCACAATCAGAACGTGAATAAAATTCTCATCAGAGGTAACGTTTGGTAGTTCAGAGAAAAGATGAATTGACTTTAATATCAATTGTTCAGACAGACTGTAGGCCTTTGACCAGAGACAAAGGAATCCAAAATTGGCCTGGGCAATGGCTTGGTTAAATTTCAGGCCTGTCTCCACAGAGATAGACAAAGCTTGACGGTAGTTCTCAGCAGCTTCCTTGACGTTGTTCACTCTTCTCTTAGCTATAGCGAGCATATTGTAAACAACCCCCCGCTGTACAGGACTATCCCGAACGTACTCCAACAACATGTTCAAAAGGACAATAGCCTTAGAGGGCTGACTATTCAGAATGTGCAAACATGCAAGGGAAATTTGTGCGTCAATCACTTCCTCAGTACCAACAGAGGCTTCTGTGTTAATGGCTTCTGTCATGTAAAGAACTGCTTTGCTGTAGACTTTGTGGTGTTTGTAGATTTCTGACAAACTGAGGTAAATAGTTCGACAAATATTGTCCTGTTCAGGTCTGCTTGCTAAGGTAAGTGCCCGTTTAAGGTAAGTTGCTACCTGTGTTGGAATCACATGAATGGCTCCCCCTGATCCACACAGCTTTGAGGCATCTATCATAACAAAGTTTGTGCTTTTCAAACAATCCACTAACGTCCTACCGTGCTGTGAGCATGAAAGCTTTGCACAGCTCAGAGCAAGGTTTGGCAAACATTTTTGACTGTACAATGATCCAAGGGAAAAGTGAAAGTCCAAAGAAGTGGTGTTTCCTACCATGAAACTATTTTTCAAAAACTGCAGTCGTTCAATGAAAGGCAATGCATCTTCATACTGTTTAAGATGTATGTAAAGCTTAGTTAGAAGAAAACATGCCCTGGCTTCAACAATCTGATTTTTGTTCAATACGGCATGCCTTAAAACATATTTAAGGATTTCAGACTCCATATCTGTGCTACAGATATAATCTGGAATTCCCAGTAGCAAGGCTGCTATCTTCTCAAAAACAGAGGTGCATTTTTCTTTGTTATTCTGCTTGAGGTACGTGGCGACAAGGTTCGTGTACACAGCAATTGATAGAAACAGATCTGCAAATTCCCCTTTCAGCAAACTTATTGCCTCTTCAAAATACACTCTGGCCTGTGAGAATTTGTGCTTCTTGGCGCACATTCGGCCCAACAGAAGACAGACACGTGTTTGGGCCCACTGCATTCGTTGCTTTCTTGCTGCCTCTCTCGCTACCTCAAGGTAATGTACCACTTCCTCCTCGTCACTGTAGCCATGAAAAGTGGACTTCAGAAAAGAAAAGCAGGAGTCGTAAAGTTTTTTAAAGTGTTTGCTGTATCCCTTGATGTTCAAAAAAAGCAACAAAGGGTAAAAGGTTTCAGGGTTGTCCAAGCCCTCTGTGTGGTTGATACAGAAACACTGTTCTTCTGCTTCCTCAGACACCAGTGTTGAATCGTTGTCAGCAACGAAAGAGCCCTTTCTAGTAGCCTGGCTCCTATTGTTTGATATGCTGCACTGTGTACCTTCTGAGCTGTTTATAGGTCCTTTGAGCTGAGCTTTCATCAAATCCATTTCTTTAACACTTGGAATGTGTTGCTCTGTTGTGCAAAAATAATAGTTATTTACAGCAAGTGGACATGTGCATCATTAGATCTAAGAAGCGGTGCCACTAAATCTTTAATTCCATTAAATTCTATGGAATACCCAGTAATGCTTTGTGTCAAACTGTGGAAAATTTAATAAAAAATTATTTTTCCTTTATTTTCTTTCCTTTTCCTCCCCCCTTTCTCTGATGATGTGGTGCCTGTGGTGTGATGATGTGGTCCCCCTGGCTCGGCATTGGTCTCTGCCAGTGTTAAGTACTCCGAGACGCCGTCCGGCATGAAAGGCGCTATATAAATGCAAGTTGTTGTTGTTGCTTTATTGTTGGGGCAGGGTTCAATAGGCACTGGGACCCCATTGGTACTTCAGTCATGTGGTTATTCTTTGTCGACAATTTATTTTTACAGTGGATCTAGTTAACATGGGAATTTTATTATAAGCTGAGTTACGTCAGTGTTCTGTGAAGTGGTCCTGAGTCACCACAATCGGAGGCTCCTTCCCTCCCAATAACTGTGGTTTGGGCCTGAGAATGTCAACATTGCCTCTGGTATTTTGAATGGTGGAGCATAGTGTCTCAGTGCTGGTTTGTGGAATACCAACTACCCAATCGGTGTCACTGAGACCAAGACCAGCTATGGGATTCGCACCTTTGAGGAGCAAACCTGCTGCTGTGAGTTCTATGGTAGGAGGAGATCAACAAAATAACTCTCATTGTTTTTGTTGGTAGTTTTTTTGACTATTCTACAGCCAGCCAGCCGATTTGCACACAGCAGTGACCCACAAACAGCCAGGAGGCAAATCATCATTTTAGCTGAAGGAATACTGGGTGGAACGGACACCAGAAGAAACTTCTTTTTAAATAGCCTCATGGGTTCTTTGCATCTGAACAGGCAGACAAGACATTGATTTAACTTCTCATCCAAATCACAACATCTACCAGAATGAAACACTGCAACATCAGGACTCATTAGAATGTCAGCCTAGATTATGAGCTCCGATCGTGGGACTTGAACCCAAAACCTTCTGACCCAAAGGCAAGAGTGCTAGCAACTGAGCCAGGCTGACAAAGACATTTTAAGTTAAGAGCTGAATTATATTATGCAGATTGTTATTTTATTACCTTTTCCATCCTCGTATTGTGGGTTCAATGGCCCTAATTTGTCTGGATTCAGAAATGAAACAAAAATTAGAATAGCCAGTGAAATATATTTACTTCATTTAATAACAATAGTCCTTGCATTTGATGTAGCGTCTCATCAAGTCATTGAAATGGCCAAAATTGTTTCACAGGATTTACTGTAAAGTTATTGTGACTGTGAACACAGCAGCCACTTTCCATACAATAATTTGTAGAAGAGACTTAAATAACTTTCAAAGCAAATTTGTGACTTTTCTGTAATTTTACAGCAAAGGGTAAAACATTGGTTACGGACAATCTTTACTTTACCCTGCGTGAAGGGCACAATATAAATGTTGTTATTTAACAAACAACCTGCCCGCAGCGATCAGTAGCTTCAGTGGTATTTTTCTGACCCTTCAAGAACCAAATACAGTACTGTAATGTAAGACTAGTCACATTGTTGCAGGTTGACTCACCCATTTGATATACATTACTGATGTCTGTCCGTGTCAGTTGCTTTAGCAACTTCATGGAATCTTCTTCGTTGAACTTTTCTTGCTCGGTGAAAAAGGAGCTTTCTGCTTCATCAATGAACAACAGATCATTTGTCCTACGAAAAGATGGTAAATCTTTGGTAACACTGTCTGTCTGAAGCTGGTTTAAATCTTAATGAACTGCAGAACTGGCAGCACTGTCATACATTTATTCAAATTGGGACACATATCTTATTAAATCATATCAATCTTACTAGCACTCACTCACTCCTATATCCACATACACAGATATCGGTACCTTCGATAGGATCACCTTTAAATTCTTTCATACCCTAGCACACCCTCCCACTATCTCCAGCTCTGTGATTTCTCCAACTCGAGCAGAAGCAGGTGCGAGCAGAACTCCAACAACAATATCTCTGAAGCTTTAAGTTATTTTAGATCTTGTCTTCCAATTTTCTTAGTGAATTCTGATTTCTTATCTTAAATCCATCAAATATTTTAAATAAAATATTGTGAGCCACTGCAACTTCCCAAAATTAAGATCTGTAAATACTTACAGTGGAGTAAAGTCTTTGGGTCTCACGTGATTTGTTTTCACAAATCCAATTTTTCCACTTGTTTCATTTTTGCCCAGAAACCACTGCATGCAGGCGATAAGCAACCCAATGATCTCAATCTTGTGTCCTATTTGGAAACTCAACTCCTCAAGCCCAGCACCTTCATAATCAACCATTGCGATGCAGGAGCCCTTACCTATAGAAAACAATTAAAACATATTTCAAATTACATGTAGCTTTTCCAGAGGTTAGCAGCTATTGTGTTAATGGAATGTTACTGATAATATTCTTATGCAGCAAACATCTAAGAACCCCAAGTACAGTATAGCTCTTTCAAATAGTGCCTGGGAACTTTGAAGTAAGCCTTATATTTGCACGCTTCTATCATTTTCGTATTTGAGGAGTACTGTGAGAATGGGCCTAATCCATTACATCAATGAGATCAACAACTTGTATTTACATAGCGCCTTTCATGTGGGTAGCATCTTGGAGCGCTTAAAATCAGACTGCCGCAGAGCCTCTTCCATTTCTTCTCTTTCTAAATGATTCGTTTGATGGAGATAGATTGTTTAAGGCTTTCATCTAAGTGTTTTGAGACGCTACCCTGCAAGAAAGGCACTACATAAATGCAACTTGTTGTTCTTGTTAGTTCTACACAGTAGTTCCCTGTGAGCGTCTCTGATGCATCTTCAATACAGTTGCATAATAGTTACATTATTAAATGTACAGTAACTGGTGCACTTCAACACTGGAGTCTAAATGGGATATTCCATTGTAATTGAGGAAGAATGCATAGGCTAGATTTAGCAAATAACGGGGTTCAAATTCTACCTGTGCCGAGATTTACTCTATTTTATTTTTAGCATTTTGGAGTATCCACATATTAAACTATTCTTAAATAAAGTCTAAATTTTAATGCTGGTTTGCTGTGAGTTCTATTAAGAACAAGAGACATTTGGTTAAGACTTAATTCAATTTGCCAAATTCTGGATTCTCTGAAATGTTAAAATAGAGTGAATCTCGACCCAGGTGGAATTTCACTCAATTTAATTTGCACAAAAAATAACACATTAAAATGAATGCTTGTTCTAAACAACATTTTTATGTGTAAAAATGTAAGGATCTTACCAAGTGGGTAAGAAAATTCTGAAGACAGATCATTGTGTATGCCAAGATCTTCAGTAAACATTTTGAAAAACCACCTAGAAAACATCAAGTATAATTTTGTCAAATGCATTACTTCATAAAATATAATGAGATATAACCATATGAATTCTGAAAGGGAATTGTTCACAGTCACTGCCCTTTACAATAAATTCTGTGAAACATGTTTGAGACCTCCTTAGGAAGTGAAAGGTGTTATATTAAATGCAAGGATTATCATTATTATTTCCGAATGTTAATGGCAACTTGCAAAATATTCCCATGTTGTACGTGCCTTAATTTATAGATTGTTTGTGTTCACTAAAGAAGGAAATACAGTAAATACCAGATAACTCGTCACTCTAAGGCAAAATTGCTCAGTGATGAGTTATCAGATGTGGCAAGTTAGGCATAGTTGCCCCACAGGGGGCGCTGTGAGCATGTATACGCCAACAAGCACTGCGCCCATACAGAGCGAGCAGCTGTCAGTGTGATGGAGCAGCCTCACCCCCAGGACTGTCAGTGTATTTGTTAAAACTTGTTGAAGTTAAGTATAAGTTTATTTGATAAAACCTATGCTCCCAGGCCCCACAGTGCCGTTCTCTCTCGCTCGCTCAGCCAGTATCCGTTGACACCATATCTAAGCATATGCGCCCAACCTCCACCGAGTGCCTGTGACCTGTGCTCAGATGCATCTCGGAGGCCTCTGGTCTATGGAGGGCTGAGCTGTGGCCTCCCACCATATGCTGTCACAGGATAGAGTAGGATACAGGGCAGGATGATCCGGCCCTCTAGTAGAGCAGTGGCCTCTGCAATGCATTTGAGCATGCGCGCCCAACCCTTCACAGGTTAGGATTGGTGGCCTCTTCAATGCAAGATACCATCTTATAGGACAAGTTATCCGATCAATTTTGCATTGTAAGTATTTACAATCATTTCTAGAATGCAACGCGTTACGTGTTAAGCAGAGTGTCAAGTAAAGAGAAATCCTTTATTAATATTTTGCACGGAGAGCGTGCAGGATATTGATGACTTAAGTGCTATTGATGAGTTAAGCCACAGGGTTGAGTTATCTGGAGTTTCCACATTTCCACTGTTGATGCTCAATGTCAACAACAAGCATTCCAGGGTCAGGTTCAAATGCGAAGGTCGATATTGCATTACAAACAAAAGAAATTCTGAATGACTGTAAAAAGAAGTGGATCCTGTGGATCCGACGTCCTTCTAAAAATAATTGCGTGACTATCTTCTTGGTAACAGTATTTAGGATACAGGGATGGGTGCAGTTACATTACAGTACTGGGATTGGAGGGAATGTTGATAATGGAGGAAAGGAGGCAGAGTTCAATAGAGAAGAATTGGGAATGGATGAATATTACAAAATATTTTAGCATAATCATATTTGTGATTCAGGGACTATTATATTGATGTGTCCTACAAGATATCCGATAAGTGGGATGGAATTTACAATTTGGAAGGTTCAAGAGCGATTGAGCTCTCAGGCCAAGTGAGGATGAATACATGTCTGATGTTGGGCTGTCCAATCGGTTAGGTGAAGACATTACCCCATGATGATCAAGGAAGCTGAATCAAAACTTTTGGCTTTTAGATTTGTTTAGCAAAAACATAATAACAATCCTTGCATTTGATACAGCGCCTTATCAAGTTGTTGAGACATCTCAAAGCGCTTCACAGAATATATTTTAAAGTGAACCGACTGTTCATTTTGCAGATGAAACGTGGCAGCCAATTATCCACTACAATCTCTCACAACAGTCATTATTTGAGTGGCCAAATTATTTATCCATACACTCATGTACCCACCCATCCATCTATCTATATCTATATTATCTCCCTCTCTCTATCTCTCTTTATCCATTTCTCCATCCATCCAGCTATCTAGCTATTTATTTGTTTTAAGGGATTTTTACACCAATTGATTAACAAACAGGTTCTTATTTACTGCTTGGTAAACAGGCATATGGAGTAAGGAAACTTGCTAAGGTTTCGCCTTACCTGGGAATCGAACCTGGGTCCTCTCACTTGTGAGGCGAGTCTCTAACCAATACGCTAAGGGACTTTGTAAACCACTCACCATGTCTAAAACTATATATCTCACACTCATCCCTATTACTTTGGTTACTTAAATTCATTCCAATTTAAAACGGTGGGTGAAAAATATTGCTACCTACTGGTGGAAAGGAATGAGAAGCTCCAGACTTTGGAAGCAAGATTTTGGTAGCAAACCCTTTTTGCCACTGAACAAAGAATGTCCTGCCCATTTAGAACTGGGTTTAGCATCCGCAACAACAACAAAATCATTTGGTTTGAGTTCCAGGTCAACTTCTTCACATTTCTGAAGATTTAATGGACACCTTGCAAAGAACAAACCTTAAGGAAAAACATAGTGAAACATAATCAATATTTGGGTTGCATCAAGAGATTTACAAATAAAATCTGGACAATGGTTAGACACAAACAGTTACAAGATATAAATTAAATTAAAGTTATGGGTTAATATCTGAAGAAATGTAGAACTATTTGTTAGCTTTTTTCCAAGCTGTGTAACATTTATACATTCATGCCCTATTATTATAGAAATCTATCATTCAATTTACTCAATTTATTTTTATTTCCCCCAAAACAGTTCTGCAGCTTGTTACGCAAGTAGCACTGCAAGATGGTCCAGATCACAGACTTCACTACAAACAGTCTGCCTCACTACAAACAGCCTACAGTAATGTATTTGTACAAATCAGACAATGGAGCTACTCATCTATTCCTATGAACCTCCTTCCTCCCCCAATCCACCCACCACACACACACGCACACATCTGTCACCTATGAAATACTGCACATGTGAAGAGTGCACCCCGTAATGAATTAGCTAAAAATCGATAAAACTCAACATGTCTGCACACAATGAATTAAAATCATGCCAGGTTTCAAATTCACATTTGCATTGCCATCTATATTTCACCTCACTCACTTTCCACCCTGCTCAGGTATTCCCATCTCTGTAGTCTATCAGTTTCTTAAAGTCTTATGCCACTCAACAGTCTTATGCCATCTCTACACCATCTCAGCCTGGCAATGTGACTAAGCTGCAGGCTTCATTTGTTCTTCCTGGCCTTGCAGAACCAGAGGCTTTCCTTCAAGAGACTGGCTTGGAGTTCTGGTCGCGGCTTACAATTTTTGTACAGTCCAGGCTCCGACCCCTCTCAGGGGTAATGACAGGCCCCTATGGAGTGATTTCATGGTTTGTGTGGGTTACCCTACACTAGCGATCCTCTACATTCCTGGTTCCAAAGTCTGTTACAACATGAAAGCCCGCACCCTAATCCGACAATTTAGGGGTACCTAAGCAAATGGCACACATATTGCTCACCATACAGGTGGATCTTGTATCATTCAACTATAGCTAAAAATAAATATTAGCACAGCAATATAGTTCTAATAAATTACTAAACTCTATTGAGAGCATCTTCCTTTGAATGTTTCAATGTTTAATTATTTATGTTAAGTAATCTTTTTATTTAAATTCGGAATTCCAGTTCTTGTTTTGTTTGCGACATTGGAATGTTTACATTCTCACCGTCCTGTAGGAGGAGGCCTTTCCACATTATTTCCAAGGATTCTCCATTTGTCTGGACCTCAATCCTGACGTCTTCATCATCCAGGTTGTTCAGCCAGAACAATTGGTCCAACAACAGGTTCTCTAAGCAATGGCCAACAAAGCCTGCCCACAGGAAGAGAAGGAGGGATATACAGGTTCAATATATTGTAAGATGATGAGCATCAATCTGTCTATGAAGTGACATTTTTTTTTACACCATGGCTGAATGTAGCAACTCCAAATCATTGCCACAACAGAGAAAAAACTATACGTCTAACATCAACTTAAAATGTCTATAAAATCGTGATATTATAGATCATTGAAATTCAGTGACAAGGTGCCAAAAGACAACGTTTGGAAAAAAGGAAATGGTTTACCTAGCGAGTAATATGTTGAAAACTTCCAGATTTCTTCAAATGTTTTAAAAGTGACCAAAATCAAGTCTTGATCACTGTGAATTGACAGCAGCCTGGCCGAAAGCTCCTGAAACAAGGTAGCATTTTGACTTGATCACTACAACAGGCTAATTTATGGTTCCGGGAACACAGTCTGATAATCTTAGGCTCATCAAATTTCACACAGAAGTTTCCTCACTGTCCTCAAGTCTTCCTTGTTTACACATTTCTGCCCAGTGGCAACACATTCCATTTGTGTCAGTAAATAATCAATGTAATCAAATCAGGTAATCAAATAGTGAATTTAGGATGTCATTACCATGGTGTTAAACTTCTATTGTCATCCAGAGCATTGCATCATTAATGAGGATGGATCACTGGTGTGTGGTTTCTAATTCCCAAGCAACTCTCACTATGCAACATACAAGAGTCAAATTTCTGCACAGTACCTTTCTTATGCTACGTAAGATCGGTGGTACAATTTAGGGAGTGTTTGTGTTCATTTATTAGTGTTTTGCACCATGGGATGGGGTAATTCTTTCATTGATGAGCTGACTGCAAGGGAATAAAGTAGAGGATATGGGTGGATCAGTACTGGAGCAATTTACCTGCTCACGTGCACAACAATTGTTGATATTTCCAATGAAAACTATTTACAAATGTCAAAGCATCCAAATTGAACAGCTTGTAATGAAAAAAATATTAGATGTACTCAATAATAAAGTACAACAACAACTTGGATTTATATAGCGCCCTCCACGTCTTCTAGTACATTTGCAAAGAATGCTACAGTTATCTAGGTCAGGACATGAAACTTGTCCCAAAACTGGTTTGTTCGTTTCCTCTTTCTACTTAATTCCCCCATCGTCAGTTCATCAGCTGACCATTACTGCACCTTCTTTCTCATTAAATACAATGTTACATTCACAGAAATTGGAGTTAATTGACTGGGCTTCTACTTTCAGAATATTGGATGTAACAATGATGCAAAGCATTGATAGAAAGAATAAAACATGCATACAGTACTTTAATTGTAGCAGTTTATCATCTCCAAAGACATAACTCAAAATGCTTCACATTTAAGCATTCTGCGGAAGTGCTGCATCTTGAACAAAAGCCAAGCAGACTTACACTGAGAAGGGCTGCAACCTCTCCACTCTCATTCTCCAGAATGCGTAGTTTTGCTCTGAGCGTCTCCTGCAGTTGAGTATCGGGAAGTCGAGTGATTTGTTTCTTTATGATCAATTTCAGGGAAATAGCTATGAATGAATCAATGGCATTAAATGTTTTCTCAATGGATAAGTTACCACATTACATCTTTAAAATGTGTCTATATTTATAGTACTAGTCACATTTTACCCTGAAAATGCATGACAATTTTTATTTGCTTTCTCTCCTTTAGGTCTCCTTTGTGACATGCCGAGGCTTCTACTCCCTGCTATTTGTGGGACAATGCTGTGCACAATTCACTGCTGTTTTCCCCACGAAATGCACAATCATTACACTTTACAGTGTATCCTATGAAGGGCTTTGAGACTTTTCAAAGACATGATAAGGTGCAATATGAAATGCAAGGATTATTATTATTATTAATTTTGCCCAAGTTGATGAATGGCTCACAAAAGAGAACAAACTGGGTTGGCCTACCCTCAGATTCCCCTCCTGTTCTAACTGTGGGGAAGTGCTGATTCTCTCATTGGCCCAATGGGAGCTTTACATGCTGGGAATTGTGTATCTAAGCCCCTGTCTCACCAACATGTGGCTCAGAGTTCAAATTAAATTTAAAGAGCACAAAACCTTGTTTTCTTTAAAAAAAACAAATCATTCTTTAATAATGAACCCAAACACATATCCATGACACATAATATAACCTAGAAATCTTATTAAAGCTAATATTGTTTTTAAACACAAACAGTGGCAAGACAAGAGAATCCTACCTGTCGGAACTCCACTTTCAACCAGCGATAATGTGGAACAACTGTTGAGTGAGTCTTTCTCAGGACGATCTAGCTCTGCAAGCATTAATTTACCTTTGAGAATGTTACTTTGCACCATTTTACAGTGTTATTCTTTACCTGCTCTCCATTTACAACTTTTGATTTGCTATGCACTAACCCCATCCTCACACTCTTCTTCACTGTCACCTTCCACAATGACCAGCAATTCTCTCCACAATTTACCTACAGGGGGAGCATGTGAAATTGGCTGGTAATGTTACTGACATCAGCATTGCTTGTTTACAAACAGAGAAATCAAATGGGCTCATAAATAAATTCAGGGTCCAGTGGAGGACTATTTTATGCAGGATCAGAAAGTTGGCAGTTTGAATCAGTGTATGCTGACCTTATAATATAATAATAATCCTTGCATTTGAAATAGCGCTTTTCACATCTTTTCGACGTCTCAAAGTGCTTCACAGAATAGACTATAAAGTAAATTGACCATATATTTGTGGGCGAAACGCGGCAGCCAATTGCGCACAGCAGTGTCTCACAAACTGTCGTTCATTGAAGTAACCAATTTATTATTTTTTTGAGGGATTATGATTAGGCGTGTGGAGTAAGGAAACTTGCCCAAGGTTTCGCCCTGCCTGGAATTGAACCCAAGTGTCTCGCTTGCAAGGCAAGTTCTTTAACCACTGAGCTACAGGACTCCTTGGGTTGGACCCTCAACTTGGCTTCATTGTCTTTAGGATAGAGAGCTGAAAATCAGCCTGGGTCCCACTCCTCATCATTATCTACTGATCTTTGCTAGAGGTTCAAAGGGGTCAACGTCAAGTGAGAACATGAATGAACTTGGCTGTTAAGTCTTTCTGTGGTTAATTGCCATCTGACAGTCACTGTAACTCATGAATAAAGACAACTTGGGTGAGGCAGCAGAAGGAAATGTATTCACCAGTGGAAATGTACACACAGCACAATAACAATAATCTGTAATTCTAAAGCATCTTTCACATAGGATTACGTCTCATAGCTCAGTGCAGTGGCGGGGTTGAAAGCCGAGCAAGGGAAAAGGGGTAGGGAGGCGACATTAGGTGCAGTGGAAGAGGTATGTTTTCAGAAGGAATTTAGAAATAAAGAGAGGGACAGATGCAGGGATTGAACTACAGAGTACCAGAGATTAGCGACATGGTAGCTGAAGGTTCACTATTGATGGTAGCATGGAGGGGATTAGGGATGTGGGCAGGCCTGCATTAGCTGAGCAAAGGGGCCAGGCAGAGGAGTGAGTTATAAGTAGGTCAGGGAGGTGCTAGGTCATGAACGCATTTGTATGTCAGGGTGAGGACCTTGAAGTCGATGCGTTTGGAGACAGTAAACTAGTGCAGCCTGGTGAGGATTGGGGAGATGGGTGTGAAGCGTTTGGTGCGGATGAGGATATGTATTAGCTGAACCTAAAGGAATAAATGAGTCAGATGCTTTTAGGAGAGGGGGACGAGAGGGAGAAAAATGGAGAAGAAAATTTGGTGGGAAAAACACAGGAAAATCTCATTAAAAGAAGCAGAGACCATCAAGGTTAGTAACTTTACTGACCAGCTGATTTTTACTCAATGCTTTTGCACAGTGAATTGGCTGTGCAATTTTTCTCACATCATTAACATTGTCACACCTGAGTGCTACTTTACAAAAGGATAAGATTTTGGCACTTTTCAGGATGTGCTGAAATTCCCTATCCCTTACCTGATTCCCTATTCTCCATGCCTGATGAATCATGTAAGATTTGTTTAGGGAGAGAAAGAGACACTTCATTTTCTTCTGACGGACTCCGCACTAGAAAGTATTGAAACAGAAAGAATGTACAGTCATTCAAATTACCTCACAACATGGAAACAATAAATTCACTGTGTTACAAGCCAGGCGAGATTCTCTCTCTGGTACAACAACCCTACTCTTTAATCGGTTTGAGTTTTCAATCAGCTTACAGATCGACATTACCTCTTACTTGAAAGAATGCTTTTCACTATGTGTTTACCTGGAACTGCTCGCTCTTCAGGTTCTGAATTCTCATCTGACTCCACAGAGTTTTGGGTTAAATTGGACCAATGCATGGGGGAGCTTGCAGAAGAACAGAAGGCTGCCTTACCTGCAGAAAATAATTGGCAAACAACATCAGAATGGTTACATGTAATGATTGAGTTATCAGTAACTCACAATTAAATAGTGGACAGGGAGGCTGCAGCAGACACATTCCTCAAACTAAATTAAAGAACTTACTGCTGGGGCTCCTCAGTGAAAAGTGGAAAGCCTCTAGTGAAAAGCCAAGCTGATTAACACGATAACTCTCTCATCTCTACGTTGACTCTAAGGGTCCCACATGTAATGTACTTGGCAGTTTCAATCCCTAATGCATCTGTATTCATCCACAATCTCACTGCCAGTATCCCAAACCGGATGCTCCAGTCAATATGCCTGACTCCAGGCAGCCTAATGATTGGCTCCTGACTGCAGATTTCTCAGTCACATAACTTCCAGGCATTTCAAAAATGGAAACAATTCTAAATCTCACATTTCCTTCAGTTTTATCTGCCGATCACTCTGTTAGAATGCCAACTTAAATCTGCATTTAACTCATCCATCTCACAATATATTCAGCTGTAGCTGGAAGCAGGGAAGAGGATACACATTCATCCTGTGTATCCTAAGTGCTTGAGCCCCTTATCTTGGTTCTGACAGAAACTGTTGACTGACTTGAAATGTGATCCATGCACTCTGTTGCTTTGCCTCAATACTAAACTTCCTGTTTACTAAAGGCAGTCATGACTACATTTATCAAACCTTACATCTCTCTTTTTATTGTAACTCTATAACACAATGTTCTGAAAAGTTATTAATGGTCTGTTGTACACATCAGGTTCTGAGAGAAATTAAAACCCCAGCTTATTTAAAAAAACAGAATCTTATTTTTAGCATTGATCAGATAATTCAGATTTGAATACTCCGATCGTTTGATGTAAATGTGGAGGCTGTACCTCGTGGGACATTGTTACTTTGCCCCAAGTAAAATTAATAATTCACCTCATAGCTGTTTCTGGGACATTGCTGTGTGCATTGTTGGTTCACCTGCACAGCCTTTTTTACTTATAATAAAATCCTAAGAAATGTTTTGAGACGTTACAACAATGTGATAAGATGCTATATTAAATGCAAGAATTTATTATAATTATTACAACCTTCTCTTCAATCACCACAAAAAGTCTGTAGCATGTACTTTTTTTAAATTAAACTTTCATCTTCATTGAATTTTATTGAGCCTGAGAGATCTGAATTCACTATACTGGGCTGGTTCTATTAACTTGCCACTTTTAACTAGAATATGTATGAAATAAGTCTCAAAGAATCAACTTCCGTCGATTTTCATTTTGGTGTCTAGAGGACAGACTCCAACCATTGCCCCAGAGGCTTGGTTTGTGTGGGTCCCTCCTCACACTCCAGCTTTCCAGCCCTTTATCTAGTCAGTGTCCAGGTGTAGATCCAACATTCAACCCTCACTAGTGAGCTAAATAAGTAAAGGTCAAGAGGAATTACTGATGGATGCTGAAATCAGTAACAAGATTAAAAAATACTGAAAACTTCTCATTACAGAGAAGAGATTGGTGAGCAATTTGCGCAATCATATCAGATCCTTCTAAAGATCAGTTTTATTTAGGCTATACATATATTCCCTGATTTTAGTTGGTAAATTGTAGCAAGAGACTGAGTGGCTCAGTGGGATTTGAACCGGAGTTTGAACCAAATAGTTCCCATGATGCTCCAGTCTTGCTCCACATCCCAGTATTTGGGAGGAAACGCAACAAAACCATCAGTAATTTAGCTCAAATCTAGTGATTGTCAGAAACCGTAACAATCACCTGAGGACTGTGTGGAAACTCGGGCGGTCAGCTCCACACTTTCTTTTATATCGAGAACCAGATGAGGGGCCGAGATGTAAAGTCAACAACAACAACAACTTGCATTTATATAGCACCCTTCACATGGGGTAGCATCCCGGAGAGTCAGCAAGTTCAAAAGGGAATCAGTTAACTATTGGGGATGAGTGGTAGGGAAATGTCAAATTATTTATTGTTTTTAAGTGTCATTTGCTCTGTGTGCACAAGCCCAGGATCACCCAAACTGATCGAGCAATGAAGAAAGTTGAGATTTCTTGTGTAATTTCTACATGAAATGTTTGGGCCTTTCAAATCTGTAAACTTTAAGATGAAGGAACATAGGAACATAGGAACAGGAGGAGGCCATTCAGCTCTTCAAGCCTGTTCTGCCATTTAATTAATCATGGCTGATCTGTACCTCAACTAGTCCTTTCAATTCCAATTTCCTGCTTTCTGCCCATATCCCTTAATCCCCCGACCTACCAACAATCTATCAACCTCACTCTTGAAGGTGTGAATGGATCCAGTACCCACGGCCTTTTGAAGAAGAGAATTCCTGATTTCTACCCCTTTTTGAGTGAAGAAATGCTCCTGATTTCACTCTTAAATGTCCTAGTTCTAATTTTAAGACTATTCCCCCTTGTTTTGGATTTCCCCACCGGAGGAAATAGCTTCTCCGTATTTACCCGATCGAATCCCTTTATCATCTTAAACACCTCAATCAAATCACCCCTCAACCTTCTAAACTCAAGGGAATACAATCCAAGTTTGCGCAGCCTTTCCTCATAACTTAACCCTTTTAGGCCTGGTAACAATCTGGTGAACCTGTGCTGCACCCCCTCCAGGGCCAATATATCTTTCCTGAGGTGTGGTGCCCAAACTGAACACAGTCTCCAGATGGGGTCTGACTAATGCTCTGTACAGCTGAAGCACCACTTCTTCCCCTTTGTATTCCAGGTCTCTTGAGATAAAGGCCAAATCTCTTTGCTCCTCCACAGTTCTTAATTTCTCCCCATTAAGAAAATATTCTGCTTTATCTTTTTTCAGTCCATAGTGAATGATATCACACATCCCTACATTGAACTCCATCTGCCACAGCTTTGCCCACTCACTTAATCTGTCTATGTCCCCTTATAACTTCCTACTCCCATCTTCACAACTTACTGAGCCTCCTAGCTTAGTGTTGTCTGCAAACTTGCTATAAAATTTCTATTCCTTCATCCAAGTCATTTATATATATGGTGAATAGCTGGGGTCCCAGTACAGACCCCTGAGGGCACCACTTGTCAAGTCCCACCAATCAGAGAATGTTCCCTTTATCCCTACTTTCTATTTCCTGCCTCCCAACCAATTACCAAACCATGTCACGAGGCTATCTCCGACTCCATGCGCTTCCATTTTCGCTAATAATCTTTTGTTTGGAACTTTATCAAATGCCTTTTGAAAGTCCATATAAATGACATCCATAGACACTCTCTTATCCACCATTTTAGTGACGGCCTCAAAACATTCAATTGGATTAGTCAGACATGACCTTCCCTTCACAAACCCTCACTGACCCTCTTTGACTAGCTCATACCTGTCCAAGTTCAGTCACTCTGTCCCTGATGATGGATTCCAGTATTTACCCTACAATTGACGTTAAGCTGACAGGTCTGTAGTTTCCTGGTTTCTCCTTCCCTCCCGTTTTAAATAAAGGGATGACATTCACAATTTTCCAATCTAAGGGCACAATTCCCGAATCTAGTGAGGTTTGGAAAGTTATGACAAATGCATCTGCAATTTCCTCTCCTATTTCCTTAAACACCCTGGGGTGGAAACTATCAGGTCCTGGAGATTTGTCTATCTTGAGTCTCATGAATGGGGGCAAATGAACAGAGAGACTTGGGGATCCACGTAAGCAAATCTCTGAAGGTGGCCGGACAGCTGTTAAAAAAGCATACAGGATACCAGGCTTTATAAACAGGGGCATAGAGTACAAAAGTCGGGAGGTTATGTTGAATATTTATAAAATGCTGCTTAGGCCTCAGTTGGAGACTGCGTTCAGTTCTGGGCACCGTGCTTTTGGAAAGATGTTAGGGCATTGGAGAGGGTGCAAAGGAGGTTTACCAGGATAGCACCAGGAATGAAGGACCTTAGTTATGAGGAGAGGTTAGCAGCGAAACTAGGATTATTCTCCCTAGAGCAGAGAAGATCAAGAGGGGATTTAATAGAGGTTTTCAAGATCATGAGAGCATTTGATAGGTTGAACTGGGAACAACTGTTTCCACTGGATCAGTAACCTGAGGTCACCGATTTAAAATAGTTGTTAAGAGATATAGAGTGGAGGTTAGGAAAAATGTTTTCACCAGCGAGTTGTTCTGATCCGGAATGCATTATCTGAAAGCGTAGTGGAAGCCGATTCAATAACAACTTTTAAGAGAGAAGTAGATGGGTATTTGGGGAGGACAGGATTGCAGAGCTGTGGAGAGAAAGCGGGCCGGGGGGATTGAGTTGGATTGCTCTTTTAGGAGTTGGCGCAGACGCGATGGTCTCTTTCTGTGCTGTATGATTCTATGATTCATTATTTCCTCCATTACCATTTTTTAATTTATATTAATTTCTATTAAGCATTTCTCTTTGACTTATTTTTAGGTTCCCCTGTATGGCTGGTATCTTGTCCTCATCCTCTACTGTAAAAACGGTAGCAAAGTATTTACTTAACGTCAGCCATTTCTTTATTTTCCGTTATAGTCTCACCTACATCGGTCTTTAACGGACCCACGTTCCCCTTGACCATTCTCTTTCTTTTAATATATTTATAAAGCTTTCATTTAATATCCCGTGCAAGTTTCTTCTCATGCTCCCTTTTTGCTCTTATTACTTTCTTTGTTTCCCTTTGTTGCCTTTTGTAGTTCTTCCAGTCCTCTACATTCCTACTGTTTCTTGCATTTGAGTAACCCTTTCTCTAACCTCATAGAATCATAGAATTTTACAGCACAAAGGAGGCCATTCGGCCCATTGTGTCTGTGCCGGTTCTGTGAAAAGAGCTTCTAAATCAACCCCACTCCCCCACTCTCTCCCCATAGCCCCATAGCCCCGATCAACCCCACTCCCCCACTCTCTCCCCATAGCCCTGATCAGCCCCACTCCCCCACTCTCCCCATAGCCCCAATCAGCCCCACTCCCCCACTCTCCCCATAGCCCTGATCAGCCCCACTCCCCCACTCTCCCCAT